CTCTCTACTTCTGCAGTCAGCACCTGCGCACCCTTCAGCAGGGCTCTCTACTTCTGCAGTCAGCACCTGCGCACTGCTGTTAAAGCACAAGTGAGCACTGACTACGAAATCTCAGGCTCCCAGCTTGCTGCCTCTGGTCCGTCTCGGTACTAAAGCTTTCAAACACGTCACTTGAGGAAAAGAAAAGGAAAACAAAGTCATTTATACAACAAATGTTACAAGTGTTTATGGTTGTGATTTATGGGTTGGCAATTATTGTGCAAGACCTGGTTCAGGAGGAGAGCTCAGGGCCTCGGGTTTCCTTCTGTGGCATCACTTGGCGCCACTGGCAAGAAGGGACAGACTGTGTCTGTCGGGAGCGGCAGGACTGTGCTGTTCCACAGAACAGGCTGATCCCTTCCCATGGCAATCACGCTGGTAACTGGGGCGAGAAAAGGTCGGGCGGCTTGTGGGATCCCATTAACAGCACCATTAAAAAAAGTTTTGTCCTTCGAGCGCATATGGGAAAATGGCAGGCTGTGGACTGCCTTGGCCAGGATAGAAACTTCACAACTTTAGAACAACTACGGATATTTTCCCGTGGCAGAGTGGCCAGGAAGAATAACTGAAGCGAGGCAAATGCTAAGTGCAGATTATTTGTAAGGAGTTTATCGATAACTGTCCAGAACACTCCCATCCTGCTGGAAGACAGAGAGAGAGCTCTGGTTTCCTCAACTCCCGCTGCCAACCCTCCAGAGAGAGAAGGCTTCCTCCCCCCTCATTTCAGCTCCAACAGAGCGCCCAACGGCCTGGGAAAATCCACCGGGTCTGAGCAGAAGTGTGGGTGCCCTTGTGACTGCTTCAAGAACACTCTAAACCATTGCCTTTTTTGTTCCATCTAAAACGTTCATTTCCTACATGATTCTTTCAGAACACGGGAGCGCAGCGTTCACGAGGGAATTCTGTGGCATCAATTACATTCCTCAGCCAAGCACCACGCCGAGCTTTCCGACGCTAGTCCCCCAAGTGCTCAGCAACGTGCTTTTACGGTTCTTGTCTTTCATTGTAAAAATGCTGATTTCTTTTTAAAGTGGCTACTGCCCTTTCACGTGACAGTGACTGTGGGGAGGATTTCACTTGGTGACGGGTGCTTTCCCGAGGGTGTGTGAATCGTCCAGCTCTGGGATCAGTGTGGGGAAAATCCAGTCGCCAGACTGCAGCCAACCACCGGCGTCATGTCCCAGATCTACGAGAGAGATCAGAACCATGGAGAAGACACAAGCCCTCAAAGACATCGTCTCGTGGTCAAAGTCAACTCGCAAAAACAAATGGCTGCTAAACCCCAAAAGATGTCAGCATGCCTAGCGCACTCAGGCTCCTTTCTTCACTAGAGAATCTCCTAAGGACTCACATTCACTACAACGTGAAAAAGGCCTCCACTACGCATGACATTGAAAGTAAAAAAAGAATGATTTTAACACGTAGAAATGACATCATAGCCTTCTGCTATAAATTATGTTGTTGTTGCTAAATCTTTCTGGGAGTACAAAATATGTTAGTTTCACAACCCAAGACTGGTACTAATATGAATACTTAAGAGGGGACCTCAAACACCTGCTGAAAAAGGGAGTCAAAGACGGTGGTATTTCCCAAGAACTTTTTGAAGCTTCCTTCTACTTTCAATGTGTGCATTGAATTAGTTACCTAGGGATCTAATGAAAAACTAAATAATAAATATATAGTATTCATTACAATGAGGAAGGCTTCTGCCCGGGACAAACTTTAGGAAGGTTAGACTGTGAGCCAAGATTGGTTGGTTAGGCAGAGCCCCTGTGGTGCGCTCCTGTGGGGGTGGGGGGTGGGGGGGCAGGAATCTACGGGATGCCAGCAGCTTGCCAGCCCCATCTGGTGACAATGACGTGGCAAAAGGAAAGTCCACTGGGATTAACCTCCGCCAGGGGAGTGGAAGCTACCACGAATGCAGTCTGTTTGCAGACCTTTAAACTGGCAATGGGTGGTTTACCAGAGGGCAAGGCAAGTCTGCCCACCAGAGGGGGTGAAGACAACAAAAATGCCTTAATCCCGTTCACAGGAGGCCTGCGGAGCAATCTAAACAGAGATGCTAAGGAAGACAAGTCAGCCAGGTTACCTTTACAACTCGGTCGGTCCCACAGGTCACCATCAGTCCCCTAGCAACGTCCACAGACATGTGGGAAATGTTGTGTTTTCCTTCATGAAAGGTTGCCAACGGAGTCCGACTAACAAAGAGAAAACAGATCACTTAAAACTCACGTGATGGTACCTGTTGCTGTCAGGTGCTGCCAAGTCGCCTTTGACTCACAGCAACCCAACAGGACAAGCCGGGTTTTCAGGGCTGTCCTCTTTATGGGGCAGTGGGCACCCCGGCCGCTCTCCGTGGTGTGGAGTGAAGGGGTGGGTTTCGGCCACAAAGCCTTCTGTTTGGTTACCAGGCGTGTGATTCATGAACTGCTGTGCCCCCAGGGCTACAGAATACCTCTCTTCTCAGCATGAAAGAAATATAACTTATAATAATTTTGTTAAAAGTCTGCTCTAAAGAAGAGGACTATAGGTTTTGTTTGGCTCCCACCCCCCCACTACCCCCCTGAACTTTACTTCTTGAGTTGTTGAGAATATACACAGCAAACCCCACACCGGCTGTCATTCATGACAGCGCGGATACTCTTCCGGTGCAGCCAATGCTACCCTCCTTTCTGAGCTGCTCCCGCCCCATCAACACGTGCTTCCTGGCCAATATTCTCAGTGGCTGTTCAATGGGACCCTGTGTAGGTAGTCCCTGAATGAGCATCGAGCTCAAGGTAGACTTTCTTTTTTAATTGGGTAAGTTACTCTGCTTGGTTTTAAG